GTGGTTATGCCCCTCAGATTCAGGAGCTCATTAACTCCAAGATGGGCACGAGCATATACTTGTTGGACAAGGAACACTTGCCCATCCGTCCAGATTTTGAAGATAATCAAGTTGTTATGACTGAGAATGAACCATCGTCTGCACAAGCACAAGCCAAGAAGGAGAAGGCAAGGAAGGAGAAAGCTGCCAAGATGCCAACTCAAGAGGAGGCATCTGAGTATTTCTTGAAAACCAAACAAGAGCAGCTTGGTTACTTGATTGCATCCAGCCTGCGGATTGAGCAAGGACTAGCCACCCTAACTCAGAACCAGGCAAGCTTAGAGAGGATCATGGAACAAAAGTTCTATGACTTGGATGTCAAAGTGACAGAGACTCAGACTGCAGTGGAGCAGCTCCAGGATGACATGCAGGAGAGGAGAGGCAAGACTACAACTGATGCCTTTGTCAGAGTGCCACGAGGTCCGAGGTCGTCTGCAGTGCCAGTTGCTGACCCCAGAGCCACCACGTCTGCACCAGCTACAGCCTCAGTTCCACCAGCTCCAGCATCTACTTCAGCCTCGACCCCGACCACGTCTACAGAAGGCTTCGTCCTTGGAGTGCTCTGGACTCCACCACCACCTGAAGATCAAGCCTGAGTGTCGACTTAGCACTATGCATTTTCTAGAAACTTTTTGGTAACTTGTTGCCAAAGGGGGAGAAAATGTATAGATCATAGGCTTCGAGAGAGAGAGTGTTGCTTTTTTCTCTCTTGCTTTATTTGGTGGTTTTTCGAACTTTGTTTGCTTTTGAGTGCTTGAGATACTATGTCATTGCTCGTGAGACATTGATGATCATGTGTTTGATCATAAGCTACACTTAATGTTTGCTTAATATTATCATCTTATCTATCTTATGTGATCATTCACTATTCTTGGTGATGAGTGCATGTATTTCATTCTTATCATTTTAAGCGCTCCACCAAGATGTATGTGACATGGAAGAGTAACCCATGACTCTAACTCTTTGTGCATTTGCAGTCCAAAGCAAATTTTAAATATGCACAAATTTAGGGGGAGCTCTTACTTATCACATACTTCTCAAAGCGACGATATATTTCATGCTTATTATCATTTGTCGAAGCTTTGATCTATATGTTGTCATCAATTACCAAAAAGGGGGAGATTGAAAGTGCAACTATCCCTAGGTGATTTTGGTAATTCATAACAACATATAGCTCATTGAGCTAATGCTATTCCAAGATGACTATTTCAGGAAAGCTCAATGATTGGCATGGCATGGATGTGAAAGTGGAACCCTCAAAATGCTAAGGACAAAGGATTGGCTCAAGCTCAAAAGCTCAAGACTCTTCATTTTATATTTTAGTGATCCAAGATCACATTGAGTCTTTAGGAAAAGCCAATACTATCAAGGAGGGATGAGGTGTTGCTTAATGAGCCTCTTGCTTCATGTGCTTAGTGATATGCTCCAAAACCCTCAACTACTTTCCCATATCCACATATGACCTAAACCCTAAGCCAAACTTGGTCCTACCGATTCTTTCTATCCGGCGCCACCGAGTTTCACTTGTCATAAGCCACTGCCAAACCCTAGCAATTCGGTTCTACCGATAGGGATCTCGGTCTCACCGAGATGGGATTGCAAACTCTTTGTTTCCCTTTCATAACTTTTCGGTCTCACCGAAAGAGCGGATCGGTCCCACCGAGATTGCAATGTAAATTCAGTGTTTCCTTTTTGTAACTTTTCGGTCTCACCGAAAGAGCAAATCGGTCCCACCGAGTTTGCCTGACCAACTCTCTGGTTAGCTAATTACCAAAATCGGTCTCACCGAGTTTGTGTAATCGGTCTCACCGAGATTACGTTATGCCCAAACCCTAACCATATCGGTCCTACCGAGTTGCATGTCAGTCCCACCGAAACTCTCTAACGGTCACTAGGTTTACCTTTTCGGTCCGACCGAGTTTGTTGATTCGGTCCCACCGAGATTGGAAAACTGTGTGTAACGGTTGGATTTTGTGTGGAGGCTATATATACCCCTCCACCTCCTCTTCATTCGTGGAGAGAGTCATCAGAACACATACACAATTCCAACTCATATGTTCTGAGAGAGAACCACCTACTCATGTGTTGAGACCAAGATATTCCATTCCTACCATATGAATCTTGATCTCTAGCCTTCCCCAAGTTGCTTTCCACTCAAATCTTCTTTCCACAAAATCCAAATCCTATGAGAGAGAGTTGAGTGTTGGGGAGACTATCATTTGAAGCACAAGAGCAAGGAGTTCATTACCTACACACCATTTGTTACTTCTTGGAGAGTGGTGTCTCCTAGATTGGCTAGGTGTTACTTGGGAGCCTCCGACAAGATTGTGGAGTTGAACCAAGGAGTTTGTAAGGGCAAGGAGATCGCCTACTTCGTGAAGATCTACCGCTAGTGAGGCAAGTCCTTCGTGGGCGATGGCCATGGTGGGATAGACAAGGTTGCTACTTCATGGACCCTTTGTGGGTGGTTGCTTCTTCGTGGACCCTTCGTGGGTGGAGCCCTCCGTGGACTCGCGCAACCGTTACCCTTCGTGGGTGGAACCCTCCGTGGACTCGCGCAACCGTTACCCTTCGTGGGTTGAAGTCTCCATCAACGTGGATGTAGGATAGCACCACCTATCCGAACCACGGGAAAAACATCCGTGTCTCCAATTGCGTTTGAATTCTCCAAACCCTTCCCTTTACATTCTTGCAAGTTGCATGCTTTACTTTCCGCTGCCAATATACTCTTTGCATGCTTGGTTGAATTGTGTGATGATTACTTGACTTGTCCTACAATAGCTAAAATCTGCCAAGAACTAAAATTGGGAAAAGGTTAAGTTTTTATTTGGTCAAGTAGTCTAATCACCCCCCTCTAGACATACTTTCGATCCTACACCAAGTTCTTTAATAAAGTCCTTAATCTAGAGGAGTGACCAAGTATCTACTTCATAGTAATCGAAATTGTTAATTAAGCCATCCACTTATGTCTTGTATGAGCCATGCTCGCAAACAGAACCACGATGATGAATTTCTACTGCGAAACCATCCTCAGGTGGTCCTGGTGAGAGAAAAAAGGGAAATTTCCTAGAAACTATAAATCAATTGAAATCCTAGTTCCTAGATCGGACATAAGTGGTACATAAATGTGGTTAATGTCAATGCTTCATGTAATCTATGTCCTAAGAGACTCGAATATACACATAATTGTCCCAATGAACTCAAAATAATGGCCAAATCGCTGGGAAGAAAAGCTAGGGTTCGTACCGTACCGTGGAGGGGGGGGATCAGGGGCTTGTCGTTTCCTGTCTTAATCGGATCCACGGGCTCGCTTCCAGCCACGGTAGTGACATCGCTTGCCATTCCCACCACCATTTAGATGGCCCCAAGAAACTGCCGCCGACCACCGCCCAGAAGCATTTGAGAGGGGAAAGGAAAGAAAGGTGCGGGAACGAAAATGATCACAACGGTTGCGTCTTTTTCACAAAAAGTCAAGTGATTTGCTCGACATGGAGGTGCTCAACATGCCACAGGTGCAGGGACGCGGGCAATTTTAGGATGAACGATGACACAACTTGCTTTCTTTTAGTACCCAAAAAAGTCGTTTGAAAGATTTAGGACTAACTTGACACAAATAAAAAAGATTAGGACATCCCGTGTATTTTACCTTTTTTTATATTGGCATAAAGGATGCGAACCGTTTTCTATCATGCATATTATAAATAACGTTCATGGATCCACTATTCGACGTGTTGGAGATTCGTGCACGCGTTGCTCGCTGCGGGACAATGAAATGTTACGATACACTCTTTAAGAAGCAGAATCTAGGTGAAGCTAGATGAATGTTTAGCGATGCATTCTCCTTTTACTCCATACAAAACCTGTCAAAAAGTTATGTACTACTCAGAAACAAGGCAAAACTTCGATAAAACCGAAAACATGTGCAACGAATCTCCAGGTGACCATAGACAACGGATCCATGCATGTTGGCATGGTAAAAGGATAATCTCCATAGATTATGAGCTCTCACAGGAGATCTTTAGAAGTGAGGAGATTCCTCCTGACTTCTTTTTGGCTTGTTTCTTTACTCCCCTCATAGTGGATGCCTGCTTCTCTTACCTAGTTGCTCATGACTGAAACAACAACTTGTTTACGGCCCGTCATCGAGCCACATCTCATATCGGATCAAGAGCATGCTAAAGTTTTGAACCGAGGAAGGAGCATGGAAGTGGGGTGAGGCAGGTGAGGGACTAGCGGAGAAAGGTGGGCCCCATGGTCGATGTAGTGCGATTAGGGGCATTGCAATTTTTTTCACTTACCGACGGGGATGTTAGGGATTCATGGGATCACATGATGCGTAGGGGGTAGCGGCGGTGCTGTAGGGTGGGGCGGCGGCGTCCACGTCGTGCATGCCGGCGGCTCCACGCAATGAACGCAGGCGGTGCCAGAGGGAATAGTCGACCAGCGCTATCTAGGTCAAAACGTCTGCGCGAGGGGTGGCGGGCCGTGGAGCGGCGCCGGAGCAAGGCGATCCCACTGGGAGGGAAGAGGCGCTGGTTGCACCATCACGACGACCGCAGACAATCGCTTAATAGTGAGGATAACCTGCTTACATCACCTTGTTGTACTTACCCTTGCTCTTCATGGACGATGGGCTCTCACCGGAGATCTCTAGAAGTAGGAGAATCCTTCCGAAATCTGTTCGGCTTGTTAGGACTATACTATAAATGACCCCAACCACCAGGCCAGATGGCTATTTGATCTCACAACTATCAAAATTTGCCTAAAGTAATTGCTCCAAATATTTGCCAAATTTTGAAAAATATTTAAACACACAGGCTCGACTTTCTTTCCCCATCCACCCAACCCAAACCCTAGAGAGAAAAAAAAGGAAGGAAAAAATCAGCAAAAAAAGAGAGAGAAAATGCGCCGCCGTTGTTCGCCGTTGTGACCCCGCCGCCGGCGAGGCCTCCCCCGCGTCCATGGATCTTTCCGCCGCAAGCGCCCTCGCCGTCCTCAGCAAGCTGCAGCTCCTCGGCTTCTGCGTCGGCCTCCAGATCCCCGACGACGCCGCCGACCCCTCCGAGGTGTTCGACACCATCCTCGCCGCGTTCCTGGGCGAGGTCTACCCCGGCGAGCGCGATGCGCGCCCGCTCCCGGCCGCCCTCGGCGACGGGCGCCGCGTGGACCTCCTCCGCCTCTTCACCGCCGTCCGCGCCGCCGGCGGCTACGCCGTGGTCTCGTCGCCCTCTGCCGGCGTCTGGGCCGCAGCCGCCGGATCCGCGGCCCTCGCCGCGCCCGTCAAGCTGATCTATGCCAAGTACCTCGGCGCGCTGGAGCGCTGGATCCAGAGGCTCCCGGAGGCACAACCACCGCCGTCTGACGAGATGCGGCAGGAGCTGCTGCTCTGCGTCCGCGGTGCCAATGGAGTTGAGATGGAGGAGCCGTCCATGGACTGCAATGGGCAGCATGGCGCGCTCAAGAGGAAGAGGGAAGACATTGCTGGGATGCTGGATTGGGTGAGGGGGCTCGCCGAGAGTGTCTCGGAGGAGGGCGCCATCGCCGCCGGGTTGGCGGATGGATACTTCCCGGTGGCATTGGCGGCGCGGGAGGCGGTGTCCAGGAAGAGGGCACGCCGCGCAAGCGTGACCAACGGCGCGCTCTCGCAGGTGATTCCGACACCTTTGATAAACTTGTTGCTGAAGATAATGTTTGACATATTGGTATTGCATCACTGCACTGCACATATATAGGCAGACATACATACAGAATTGGCACTGGATTACTTCAGCAATACATACATACAGAGATGTTAGCTGGCAACATCTATCTCTATCCCTTTGATCTTCTACGTTTAGGCCCTGTTTCGATTGTCGTTTTCCTTTTAAATACCCCTGTAAAAATACACGTCTGTACCGAAGGATAAGATTGTCGTTTTGTTTCCAGCTGAAAATTGCTCGTGGTCGGTAATTTAAAGGCCTTAGTGCCACTGGACTGTACTAGTGGAGATCCACATATTAGATAATTTGTTTGATTTCCCCTAAACATAAGTAAATAAATAAAATTCATGCTTCAGGTCTTACCAGTCTTTTCATTAGTGCTTTAATTAAGGCCTGGACACCCTTGTAAATTTGGCTACCTACCCTACAAATGGAGCATTGCCGTTCCTTTTCTTTCTAATTTTGATTGTGCAGATTGGATGCTGGTAAAAGAGCATTTAGAAGAGTATTTAAAAGGAGCATTTAACTACTTCTATCTTCATTTTGGTGACGTGGTATATAGTTCGGGCAAAATGTGTGAACTTCCCATTTGCCGTCTCTGTGTTAGAACTTCTGGAGGGATACGCGGGTGCTACCAACCAGAGGGCAAAATCTGGCCTAACCCTGCTTAAGCATTACACTGTGCACAATTTAAGCTACAGTATCTTTGCTCCCTGATGTTCGCTCATGTATCATTGGGATGACGGATACTATAAATAGAGCTATGAAATCTCCCTGATGCTTTGGCCCCGGATATTACCTGTCGGGTACTGTGGGTGGTTGAAAATATTTTGTTTGCTTTATTGCCTTGAAGATGATAGTCCCCTATAAATAGAGCTATGAAACCTTACCTTTCTGGCTAAGCCGATTACTCGGCAACTGGATACATATCTTATTCATAGTCACTGAATGTTTTTTTCTTCTGATGGCGCAGGAAACTGGTTGCAGGTGCTGCAGGAGTACCACCTGTGCCAGAATTGGTGTTCAATGCAGCAAAATTGTTCAACAACCTGGTTCGGATACTAATAATCTAACAAGAGTTGTTGATGTGAATGGATCCTCGACGGTCATAGAACAGGCGAGCAGTGTGAACGGACAATTGAAGCATTCTAAAAGTCAGCAGAGGAACAAACTACTAGTGGGCTCCAATTATCAAGCAGTGGTGCCACAGTGGACTGGCTTTCCGCCTGAAAATTACGGCGATCCGGAAACCCTCAAATGGCTGGGCACAAACATCTGGCCTCCAGAAAATGAGAACAAAATAACCCGAACTTACCATGACCCTATTGGCAAAGGCAGAGAATATGTTTGCAGCTGCAACGTCCCGCGATCAGTAGAATGTGTCAGGTTTCACATTGCAGAAAGGCGGCTGCAGCTGAGACGTGAACTCGGCCCTGCTTTCTACCAGTGGGGATTTGACCATATGGGCGAGGAGGTTGCCCTTTCTTGGACGGATGAAGAGGAGGCAAGTTTCAAGGCTGTAATGCAGACCTATGCGCCATCTCCAGCAAGGAATTTATGGAACCATCTTCAGTCATCCTTCCGCTGGAAGCCGAGGAAAGAACTTGTGAGCTATTATTTTAATTGTTTTCTGCTTAGGCGGAGGTGTTACCAGAATAGGACCGCACCAAAGAAGATAGATAGTGATGACGAGGAAGAGACAGAGTTTAGGTTTTTGGGAAACCGTATGGGACAAAGTGCAACCAAGTATGACAGCACCAAGCGCACCGTTTGCATTCAGAGTACTCACTGCATGGATCTGGATGATGAGTAGTTGCTGATTGATCACATTCTAGGAGGCTGGTTGAAGCCTGTTCAGGAGTTTGGATTTATAAATGGCCCCCATTCATTGATTTGGTTGACATTGCACATGAGTTGCTGTGAGCAAAGAGTTAGACCATTTTGCTTACTGTTTTCAGAGCCTTGCCAGCAATCCAAGTTTTGACATGGACTTGTATGTTGTATCCGAGAAGTAAAAAAAAATGCACTGGTATTTATTTTTGAAACAGAGAACTGCAGGAACAGTAAACTTGATTTGTACAAGTGAGAGATGAGGAGGATATATAGAGGCAGAGCTGATCCAAGCCAGTTGCAGTCTTTGGGGCTGAGAGGATTAACCTGTTGTATACATTGTGGAATATTATGTTGTTATCAGAGAGAACCTGACTGACTTGTATCATCATCATCATGTATACCTGTATCCTCTGTGGATTGACATGTACATTGACCAGTAGGTAAAAGTATATGGAGTGATGGCCCGTATCATCATCATCATCATCATCATCATCATCATGTACACAGTAGCCCGTTCCGGTCGTATTTCTCTCTCTAGATATGGAGTGATGGCAGGCATAGGAATGATATGTTGAGGTTAGTCTTGTGAAACTAATGTTGCAGTTGTTGTTTGTTGTAGACTGAGCATGTCTGTTTTATTTCTTTGGGTTTCGTTCGGCATCTCAATAAGTACATGTCTGTTTTAGTTTATGAGTTGTTTCTTTTCTTTCTTGTGAGCTATAAATAAATGTCAAATAGTATTATCAACCTTGGGAAATATTATCAACATTTACTCCTCTGTCACATATTAACCGACAGATAAATGGGAATCGGCTTTAGCATAGTCTGATCTGATGTACTAGAATTTAGTTCCAATTTTGAATTTTAGGCATTAGCTTTGGTGGTGCTGTGCTGTGCTGTGCTGTGCTGTGTAGGTTTGGTGGTGCAAGATGACGGCGTCGTCTTGCTGCTGCTTCCGACTGCTGTTGAGTCGGTGTCTGTTTCCCAAGATTATGCTTGTGGGTTTTGATCTGAAGAAGAATAAATTGGAGCTTAGCGAATTGAGGTTGGTTTCTACGTACGTATTTGGTTTGGTTAGCCATCCCGTCCCGTGGTTAATTTTTTTTGGCTGGCCATGTTTATGTTGCTAGTACTGTAACCAAATCTGAGATGAGTCTGCAACTGTAAACTAGCTTGTGGCAAGCATCTGATCATTTGAAATCTGCAGTCTTGTCCGTGTGAGTGATGCATCCCGTCGTTTAATATTTTGGCCATTAGCTTTGGTGGTGCTGTTCTCTGTTGTGCTGTGTAGGTTTGGTGCTGCAAAGGTTCAAGTCAGTACCTGTTTCCCAAGATTGTGCTTGTGAAAAATGTTCGTGAAAGTTTCTTGGATTTGGAAAAAGATCATGAGTTCAAAAGATGTTCAATAAATGAAAAATTGTTCCCGAATTTTAAAATAGATCACAAATTTGAGAAACATTCAAAAATTCAAAAAAATATTCACAGATTGAAAAGTGTTTGTGGATTTGAAACAAGTTCAAAAATTCAAAGAAAATTGTTAAATGAAAAATATTTGCACATTTGAAAAATATCACAAAATTAAAAATAGTTCATGGATTTAACAAAGTTCATGAACTTGAGAAAAGGTCTCATTTTTTTTTAAAAAAATGCGAATTTGAGTAAAGTTCATGAACTTGAAAAAATATTAACGATTTAAAAAATGTTCATCATTTCAAAATGTAAAAAAAAGAAAAGAAAAAAATGAATGAGTAAAAAGAGTAATGAAAACAACAAAGAAACTGAAAGATAAATCAAAATAGTACTAAAAAAGAGAACGGAAAATAATGTGAAAACCAGAAAGGAAAAAACCAAATAGAAAACCATGGCTGGAAAATACAGAAAGACTGTCAAAAAAAGAGAAACCGAATAGAAAACCATGGCTGGAAAATACAAAAAGACTGTCAAAAAAAAAGAGAAACCGAAAAGAAAACCATGGCTGGAAAATACACAAAGACTGTAAAAAAAAAGAGAAACCATGCGAAAGAACATTCTAGAATGTTCCCAAAAGCGGCAATTAACCACACTGTTCCATGGGCCAGGCCGTTAGAAGTAGCAGCCCCCCACCTGAGCTCTCGCTACGAATAAAGAGCTATCACCAGATAGGATATACCCCTAAAAAAACCAGATAGGATATGGCTAAAACTTGCGTGTCTCAAATGTTTTTGTTGGATATTTATGCAAAATATTTTATTTTTGAGCCCATCAAAAAATATTTTATTTTATTTTTGAAAGACATATCATTTAAGGACGCGTCTACACAGCGGCCGGCTGCTCCCTGTCGTTTCGGAGCAGCCGGCCAAAATACAAAAAGTTTGATATGTAATCCATAAAAAGAAATGTCTTGTCCTTATGTCTTGTCCTTTTTGTCCTTTATATTGATTAGATTTTTTTCCATCTGGTCCTTTTTTCATGACATATTAAATGCCCGAAACAGTTATCTTTTAGATGTAGAGTGCATGTGCATTTAATTTGTGGTTTTAAATTTTCAAAAAACAATAACTTTCAAATTGCGCATCAAAATTAAGATTCGTTTTCACTACTGGAACCATCGCGGCGTGCTCTTCGAAACTAAATCCCACATGAGTATATTTCGACGAATTTTTTTGTGCAATTTTGTCCCCGTTTTGTGCAACTGACTAACCGTTGTTGTGTAACTACCTGACAGGGATGTGCAACTTTTCTCGTACACTGTAGACATGCAGTTTTTCTCTATGGTGCCTCCACCTTCAAACTGCCTCCTTTCAGTGAGATGTGCAACTTCGTTTGTTGCCTAGGCCATGCAGTTTTCACTAGTGGCACCACCCCATACTACTCTCTAACAGTGAAATGTGCATTTTCGCTGTGCCCTAGCCAACTGCCTAGTAGTCGTCGTGTGTGGGCAGCCCCCACAACCGTGTTCGAGGGACTATCCTATGAGGATGTCCCAACTCCACGGTCACGCATGTGCGACTATGCACACAAGAGTGTGCAACTCCGTGGTCGGACGTGGGCATCTCCCACAGTAGTTCATGTGCGACTATGCAGACGAGATTGTGCAACTGTGTGGCCATGCATGTGCGACTATGCCGATGAGAGTGTGCAACTCCGTGGTCGGACATGACCACGTCCCACAAAAACTTATGTGCGACTATGCGGACGAGATTGTGCAACTCTGTGGCCATGCATATGCGACTGTGCCGACGAGAGTGTGCAACTCCGCGGCCATGCATGAGCACCTCCCACGATAATTCATGTGCGACTATGCGGACGAGATTGTACAACTCTGTGTTCATGCATGAGCATCTCCCACGATAATTCATGTGCGACTATGCGGACGAGATTTTGCAACTCTGTGTTCGTGCATGTGCAACTATGCCGACGAGAGTGTGCAATCCCGCGGCCATGCGTGAGCACCTCCCACGATAATTTATGTACTATGCACACGAGATTGTGCAACTCTGTGGCCATGCATGTGCGATTATACCGACGAGAGTGTGCAACTCCGCGGCCGGGCATGAGCACCTCCCACGACAATTCATGTGCGACTATGCGGATGAGATCGTGTAACTCTGTGACCATGCATACTGTGCCGACAAAAGTGTGCAACTCCGCGGCCATGCGTGAGCATCTCCCCACGGACCCGCGACTAATGCATTGCGTCCTTGCATCGACAATGACCCGGCGGAGATCATCATCATCGGGCACATCGTCTGGTTCCTCTTGATCTTCAGCAGCTTCACCCGTGGCAGCATCATTGGGCACATCGTCTGGTTCCTCTTGATCTTCACCAGCTCCCCACGTTGCAGCATCACCGTATTCAGGGGGCACATAGTTGTCATCGTACTCTTCTTCTTCGCCGTCTTCCATCATAACCCCTATTTCTCCGTGCCTCGTCCAAACATTATAGTGTGGCATGAAACCCTTGTAAAGAAGGTGGGAGTGAAGGATTTTCCGGTTAGAGTAAGACCTCATATTCCCACATTCAGTGCATGGACAACGCATAAAACCATTCTGCTTGTTTGCCTCAGCCGCATCGAGAAACTCATGCACGCTCTTAATGTACTCGCGGGTGTGTCTGTCACCGTACATCCATTACCGGTTCATCTGCGTGCATTATATATAATTAAGTGTCCAAATTAATAGAAGTTCATCATCACATTAAAACCAAAGTGCATACATAGTTCTCATCTAACAACATATAGCTCTCCAGAGCATCTACTTAATTAAACCATACATTGAAACTATGTAAAACATTTCAATGCGAAAACAAATGCGATCATAATCGCAACCAAGGTAACAATTGATCCAACGGTATAATGATACCAAGTCTCGGTATGAATGGCATATTTTCTAATCTTTCTAATCTTCAAGCGCATTGCATCCATCTTGATCTTGTGATCATCGACGACATCCGCAACATGCAACTCCAATATCATCTTCTCCTCCTCAATTTTTTTTATTTTTTCCTTCAACAAATTGTTTTCTTCTTCAACTAAATTTAACCTCTCGACAATAGGATCGGTTGGCATTTCCGATTCACATACATCCTAGATAAATAAAATCTATGTCACGTTGGTCGGCATAATTTTCATAAACAATAAATGAACCAATAGTTATAAAGATAATATACATACCAAATCCGAATCATAGACAGGACGAGGGCCGACGGGGGCGGATACCAAAACCATCGCACTATATAAGATGCAATAATAAATGTAAGAAAATGATACAAGTATCTATCTAAACATACAAGTAAGAATATTTTTCCTTTCAGAAAGAAGATAAGAACAAGAGGCTCACCACGGTGGTGTCGGTGATGAGATCGGCGCGGGTGATCGACGGCGGTGAAGACGGGGATGGGGCGTGACGGACCGCTAAATCTAGACAAATCTCGAGGAAAATGGAGCTTGGAGGTCGAGCTTCGAGAGGAGAAAGCTTAATAGTGTGGCTCGGGCATTCCATCGAACACCTCATGTGCATAGGAGGTGAGCTAGAGCACCACAAAGCCCTCTCCCCCTCGGCCAGAAAAAACAGAGCACTGTGCTCTGCTCTTGCGCGAGGGGGTATATATAGGCACCTCATTGGTCCCGGTTGGTGGCATGAACCGAGACCAAAGGGGAGCCTTTGGTCCCGGTTCAAGCCACCAACCAGGACCAATGGTAGTGGGCCAGGAGCGAGGCCCATTGGTCCCGGTTCGTCCCACCAACCGGGACCAAAAGGTCCAGACGAACCGGGACCAATGGCCCACGTGGCCCGGCCGGCCCCCTGGGCTCACGAACCGGGACCAATGCCCACATTGGTCCCGGTTCTATACTGAATCGGGACTAATGGGCTGAGCCGGCCTGGACCATAGCCCTGTTTTCTACTAGTGAACCGTGCCGACGAAAGTGTGCAACTCCGCGGCCATGCGTGAGCATCTCCCCACGACAATTCATGTGCGACTATGCGGACAAGATTGTACAACTCTCTGTACATGCGTGTGTGACTATGCCGGCAAGAGTGTGCAACTCCGCGTCCGGGCGTAAGAACCTCCCACGATAATTCATGTGCTACTATATGGGCCAGATTGTGCAACTCTGTTGCCATGCATGTGCGACTGGGCCGACGAAAGTGTGCAACTTGGCGGCGGGGCATGAGAACGTCCCACGATAATTCATATGCGATTATACGGATCAGATTGTGCAACTATATGGTTATGCATGTGCCAAATAAAACTAGTATATGTGCAACTAGCCATCCAGGAAGAGTCTAGATGCACGAACACACAGCCGCGTGCAGACCACCGCGATGCATTCATCCGTGCTCCCTTCTTCTTGTCCTTGCCACGTGCTCCCTTCTTCCCGTCCACAACAAGGATGCATGCACCCTTCTCATTCACTCCCAGCCTTTTGGATCAATGGATTCGGAGGGAGGCGCTCTACATTTGTACTGCTACATAGAAATAAAATGGAGTGAGAAAGAAGATGTGGCTGCAGGAAGAAAAGAGCGAGAAGAGAATCTGAATTTGCTTTCCCCCTTGTTTGACCCGTTCCTCCCCTTACATGTGTTATTCCCTGAGGTGCTGCTGCCTGAAGAGAATCTGATGCCGCAAAGAAAATATGGATGCTAATAAACAGAGAACTGCAGGAACAGTAAACTTCGTCTGTACAAGTGAGAGATGAGGAGGATATATAGAGGCAGAGCTGATCCAAGCCAATTGCAATCTTTCGGGCTGAGAGGATTAACATGGTGTATACATTGTGGAATAGTAGTATGTTGTTATCAGAGAGAACCTGACTGACTTGTATCATCATCATCATGTATACCTGCTTTCGCCCCCTCATTTTTTATCCTCTGTGGATTGACATGTACATTGAGCAGTAGGTATAAGCATACCTGACAGTAGCTTGCTCTAGCCTATTCTGGTTGCATCTCTAGAGTGATGGCATAAATAGGAATAGAACGTTGAGGTTAGTCTTGTGAAACTAATGTTGCAGTTGTTCTTTGTTGTAGACTCGGCATATTTTATTTCTTTGGGAATTTTGTTGTTCCGGCATCTCAATAAGAACATGTCTATTTGTCTACTAGCACATATACCCGTGCGTTGCAACGGGAAAAATTGATGTTTTGTTTTCAAGCATAATGTCTTGTAGCACCGGATTCACTGCGAAGAACATGCTGCAATGCATCATCCTTTCACAAAATGAACATAAAAAATAGGATGCAATTTATTAGCATCCATATTTTCTTTGCGGCATAACCTTCCACTAATTCCGATTAAGTATAATCCTTCCTTTAGTTACAATGACGTCCTCACCCATTTTAGTCGGGAATCAAATCCTTCCTTTTCTAATTTAGTAGCCCTTAGCCACATCCATTTAAATATCCTATTTAAGCCCACAATCCTTCCTTTAGTTAGCTCACTCGCTTAATTAGCTCGCCCTACACGTGAGGGCTGCTCTCCTTTGTTTTAACCGTCCGTTGGTTGATTCCTGAGACCGCTTGTATATTTACTGGTGGTAACCATTGTAAAAGAGCGAGGTGGGATTAGTGAACGTGAAAGATGCATAGCTCGCTGGTTGTTACATCAAAGAGCTAGACAGGAGGTACCGTGTTTAATTTCCACAATGTTGATTTGTTTTGACCCAATTATTTTTCGCGGTCTCTATGTAAGCCCATAGAAGGCCCCGTGTGTACGACAGTACGAGCGAACCAAACCAAACCAATAATACCTATTCCCTTTAATAGTAGGTATAGATATAGATATCGATATAGATATAAATAAACGAGTTGTTTCTAGCGGCAGCATTTTCCTTTTCTTTCTTGTGAGCTATAAATAAATGTGAAATATTATCAACCTAAGCACCACACTTATTTACTCCTATGTCAGAGATTAACCGACAGACAAATGGGTACCATACTGTCTGATGTGCTACAATTTAGTTCCAATCGAACATCTTGCATACCTTTTTTTAGAACGAAGGCTCAAGGGGAGCCCGGCTTTGAATTAATGAAGCCATCAACCGGCCAGGATTACACAAGGCCACCAAGCAATAGCGACCAAAAGATACAATGGAGCTTAGTGAACAGCTAACAATGCAACACACACTACAACAAAAAGAAAAATACATGAAGAGCCCTGCTAGTAGTGTCGAAGCCTACTGCACATAGTCAGCAGAGAGAGGAGCAACAGAGAAGCCTCGATGATCAGCCGATAGCCAGAGAAAGGTGTGAACTGTCTGAACCCAAAGACTAGGGAAGAACATCGCTCCCAACGCGAAAGAGGAACCCTTTCCTCTCGCCTAGGCTCGAAGGCGCTCACCCGAGAACTAGAGCAGACGCCAGCCAAATCCCCATCGCAGACAAGTTGCACAACCCTCGCCACACCGCTGGCACACACCACAGCTGCACTGCCACCTCTCCTGAACAACCAAGAGCAGAAGGATAGCCGTCGGGAGGTCGCCGAAGAAGAAAGCTGCAGAGGCCAAGAGGCGGAGCAGGGGAGCACCAGGTCCCGTTCCAATGGCCGCAAGAGGGACTCTTGCGGGAACGAGCACCCTCCACAGAAAGACGCAAACTTGGCCTCGCAGCCGACGGACGCTCACCAACCACATCGTCCCTCTCCTGAAGAACCAGACACCCCAGACGACGCCTCCAACGAGGACGCGACGCGCTAGGCGCCGCCGCCGGCCAACCCGAGACGGGTTTTGGGTTTTCACCCGGGGTCTGGGACAGGGGTGAAGAGGAGAGCCCTCAACGGCGCCTCCAGGGGAGAACACGACGCGCACACGCGCCGTCGCCGTCGTGGCCGAAGGACCGGCCAAGGGTTTCCCCAGGGCTCGAACCTGAGCACCCGCACCCCGCCAGCACCGGATCTGGCGACCAGAGTCGCAGAAGGGCACGACCGAAGCGGAGGAGAGAGCAGGGGAGGAGGGCGCCTGACCTTGAGATCTGGGACAGAGGGAATCCGCACCGCGACCACCCGCTGTATCCACGCTGCCCGGGCAGCCGAGGATGCCGGCCACCACTTCCTGCGCGTGCCGCCAGTCGCGGAGGCAGCGCCGCCTCATCATCCGGGGCCGCTGCCCTGGCTTCCAGGTCCTTCGCGGGGGCACGAAGCAACGCATCACCTCACCGCCACCTTCATCGACGACCCACCAGGCTTGCCCGTCGATCCCCTCAGGTGGCGGCGTTGAGGGGCTGGGATTGAGGGGGTGGCGGCGCGGGGGAAACCCTAGTCGCCCCCGAGTCGCCCTCGGGAGGACGACGCGAGGGCGGGGGGAGGAACGATCTCAAAGTGTTCAATGCACGTCCCAACAGCTTGCATACTTAGAATTCAGTATCATAGTTCCTATCGATTGATGTTATTATTGGCCTAAGAAACTTGGTTCTCTTTCGCAATGGGAATTCGACTGACTGTACCATGACCAATATTCATGGTACTGAAGCATTATGTCAATGTTTTATCCCGGTTTTTGTGGGAATTCAGTAGCGTAGTCTGGTGTGTTGTTTCCAACCAGTTAATGCTATTTCAGGTGAATTCCAGTTACGCGTATTTATGTTGATCTAACAATTAATGGTGCTTGCATTCTTGGAATATTTGCACTGCATCACCTATGTTTTCAGCATAAAAGTCTGAAACTGGGATTACGTATGCAAATTGTTTATTGGATATACAATACTTCCTCTAGGGCTGTTTCTGGCAGTATTATTTTTATTTAAGTTTTTTCATTAAAAAGAGAAGAAAATAAATTCTCTGAGTAGTCCGTCCCGCACACCTTTCGATACTGCTTGGACTCCAGTCCAAGGACTTGGCCCCTGCTTTACATTCAAAGGAGAAGAAAAAGAAAAAGAAAAGGAGGAAGAATCTGACAGTAAAATCTTTATTCTTCAAGTAGCTCCAGCCTCAAGCAAAGAAGCAGCCAGCTACAGATGCCTTGGCTAAAACTAAAGCAACCCCTGCACTGCACTGCATACCAGCAAGTCCTTCTGCTATAGATCTGCACACAAGGTTAAGCTACTATCAATCAAAACCACTAATATGCATGATTCTTCTGTTACATATATTATTTTTCTCATCTTAATTGCTTGATGTTTCTCTTCTTTCCAAAAGAACAATCATTTTTAATTATGCATCTACTAACAATGTTTCTTCAGGCAGGCACGGACATAACTATCTCTTGCGCTCTTCTGGTATAAGTAACTACTAGGTGCCATCCGGAGGTGCAGATCGATCGATGGGTTAGATGTCTGGTTTGCTGGGCCTCCATTGAAATACTAGTCGTCATGCCTCGACAGGTATTAATTTGTTTGCCTACACACGCAATTCTTCTGGTGCTATGTTATATATGTCAGAGATTCTTTTCTTAGTTGATTCTTGAGTAAAAATTGTTACTTTCTTCTATTATTACATTCAAGAATTAATTACGTGTTCATTAGCTCCATGGATCAACCAAGATGGCAACATCACACACACACACACACAGACACAGACACAGAGGATGCAATTTCAGGCTTAATATTATTACTGGAGCTAGGAGGCTAGTTAGAAGGGGACGGACCACTATCCATCCTTTCCTTCTAACACTGACCACCAAATCAAAACATCACTTCTGCTCTGTCCGACTAACACTGGCCCCACGCATGCAGTTTAGTTAATTACTAATGTCCATCCGAATAATAACACAAGGCCTTTTTCGTATACATGTTTCTACTGCTAATCAACTAACTGTTATAAACTAATGCAGAGGATTTTCCCGAATACTATCAAAGAAGCCGTGCAAGAGATAATCCCCTATTTGGAGGATACGAGCAATGCTGCACACAAGGCCATATATTTTGATGGATGGGATGGGATGGCTGCTTCGGTGGTGCTTAGAGCCATAGTTGAAGACCCGCCACCGTCACTGCTGAAGAAATTCGACAAGATCATCCATGTTGATTGCTCGAAGTGGAAAAGCCAAAGAGCACTCCAAAGGACAATCGCACAAGAACTGAAGCTCCCTCATCGGGTAATGGATATTTTGGATAGGCAAGATGAAGATGATGATTTCAGAGGGGTAGATGAAAGCTCCAGAGCTGAGATTGGAGTCATTGCGAGGGAGCTACATAAAGCCCTACGAGAACACATATGCTTATTGGTCTTCCATAATGGCAGCAACAATTTGGTTGACTTGGCTGATTGTGGCATTCCTCAACCGCCTATCTTTGATGTTAAGGTATTGTGGACATTTCGAGGAAGGCTTCGGCTCAACCAAGGAATTAGTGAGAAGGTGGATCCTTCGCATCTTTTCCTTTATGATGAGTACAGTACTTACGGGTGGAATTATTTGCTTCAAATAGAGGCTAGAGAAATTGCTGGGTACACGGATAATCTTGGTGCAGCAGCAGCTACCGAGTGTTGCTTGTATCTCTTGTCATTAAATTCTCAAGGAGGCAATATCATGGACTATGACTGGGCCACACATGCTTCCAACTATTGGGTATGTGATGGGATTATACAGGGAGGTCAGGGTGATGAAGCATGGAAGGTTGCTGCTGCTCTGCATCAACATATAGATATGGAGGATTATGCATCTAATGCACTGCCCTCTTTTGGTCATCGGTTGGAGACTCCTCCGAAACGATGGATATTGGCCAAGGACAGCTCTGTTGTGCAGCCAGAGTCAACGTCATTTTTCCTCACTGCAGCCGCAAGCGAGTCTGATCCATTGTTAAGACCCTTACCTAATGACATGTTTCATCAATCGGACAAACTTCGGGTGCTCAAGTTATGTCATTGCACCTTCAGTTTTTCCTCTCCTCCTTTTAGTCGTTGCCACAAGTTGAGATTCCTTGGATTAGATGGCTGCAAGGACCAGCGAGCAGAAGAAGATGAGAAGCAAGATATGGATTTTTTGAAGAGCCTATGGGTGATAGACATACAAAATACAGACTGGCATCTGCCTTCATCACCAGAGATGATAAAGCAGATGGCTGCAAACATTAGGGAAGTACATATAAAGAATGGAATGTTTTGGCACATCATTTTTGCATTGGGACAGCCACAAAATCTTCACAAGCTTCGCGTTATTGACCCTACATGCTGCTCTTTGGAGACAGGTTTGCCCAGCTTGTCAAGTTCAACTAGCCTCAAGACTCTGGTTCTAGATGGTCGTGTTGGTTTGAAAGTTATAGAAGGACTCCCTCCATCCCTTGAATCATTCAGCTTAGATGCCAGACCAAAAAAGGATGGTTACAAGGAAGCCAAAATAAGTCGCATCTCCATGGCTGGCTGTGCAAGATTGTCTGACTTCACACTGCGTGGATCACTTCCAAACCTTGAGGAGCTGGACCTCTCAGGCACAGGAGTCAAGACACTTGTCCTTACAACTCAGGTGGTGCTGGCCCCATGTCTCCAGCGAGTCATGCTGTTGGGATGTGAGCAACTCCGTGCTGTGCTTTGGCCAGAAATGGGGATGCCCCAACTAAGTTTGCTCTGCATTGACACTCGAGGAGGAGAAGAGGTCGGAAGAATACCACCTGGTTTTGATAAGTTAAAAAAGGGTGATTGTCAAGCATATGTTGCTATGATGGACATGAAATTCATTCAGTTATTGGTGCTAACAAGTTCCAATATGTTTTGGAACACTAACATTGATATGTTCAATCTAAATCTCTGCATATCTGCAAGTGGACAGTGGCGCAATAAGAAGAATATGGACTCTGATAACAGTGGGGAAAAATTGGGGCCAGCCCTAGCAAAGCCATTAATGTCCAATTCTTCTCACAACCCCTACATTGATGCAGGTATTGACAACATAAGTATAGATCATGACTACAACAGTGCATCCCAATTTCAGTCATCGACCTACCATGTGGAGATTGGTGATGGAATTAGCAACACTTGTGTCGATAGCATACAAGCAACCAAGGCTATGATCTTTGCAACGAACAAGGCCAAGTCGTTGTGTGTGCATGACAATTCTTCCATCACCACAGTCATCCCAGAACACATGATGTCCATAGAGGGAGAGAAACTTTTATGGCTAGAACTGGAATCTTGTCACGTGGTGAGATGCCCCAAGATGCATACAGTCTTCAATACTATCTATGGATACATCAGATTTCCAAAACTAGTGAACTTTTGTGCGGCTGATCTGCTGATGACCCATTGCATTTGGAGCAAAGAGAGGACACTCAATGTTGAAGATAATCGCTCCTTTGCGAAACTGCAGAGCATACACCTGTTCTCCTGCCCGAGGCTCACATTTGTCCTCCAGTGGTCCAGGTTATACATCTTGAGTAGCCTGGAGACCCTCCACATCGTCTTCTGTGGTGATCTAAGGCAAGCGTTCCCTGTGGCGCCAGAGGTTCTGACAAGAATAGCTAACTACCATAAAGGTGTACTGGAATTCCCAAACCTGAAGCATATCTACTTGCATCAGCTCTTCAAGCTGCAACATATATGTGAAGCCAAGATGTTTGCTCCCAAGCTGGAGACCATCAGGGTCAGGGGATGCTGGGGTTTGAGGCGGCTCCCGGCTGTCGGCCGAGACAACCGCCCAGTTGTGGACTGCGAGAAGGATTGGTGGGAGAAGTTGGAGTGGGACGGGCTGGAGGCTGGCCATGACCCTTCCCTCTTCAAGCCACGCCACTCGGCGTATTACAGGAAGCCCCTGCCTAGATGCTCAGTTCTGTGGTGAGCTGAAGAAGATGTTCAGGTACGCATCCGCAAGTCTTTCCTTTGTTTTTATCTATCTGTTGTATTTTTTTGGTAACAAATAATGACACACCTTGTGCAATTGTGCTATGTAATATCTGAAGAAGTGCGAATATAATACATACACACATTTGTTGAGAAAGCAACAGTCTAGTCAATACTTCATGCATTCAGTGTGCTGTGTAGGCTACAACGATGGATGGCTGCTTTCCACCCTTCACACTGCAAGCGCAAGCCAAATCGGGAGATGGTGGATGCATGTGTGTTTCCTTCCTCAAGAATAAATTGGTGCATCAAGGCTTAATCGTTTTGTGTGTGTCTCCATGCAAAGGACTTATGTATCATTGTTGGTGTGGTTTGTTTTCTGCTCATGTGTGTGTTTTCTCAAGACAGATTCAGTACAGCAGCATGTGTACCTTGTTGGAATTAACCACGCTGCCTAGTCTGTGTCCGTCTCGGACCAGAACACATCACCGAGTAGGGCTTGTAGTGGTACGCTAGATTAGCTACTATATAATCCTATGTATCCCCTGTAATCTTGTACTTAGACCAGTTGTGTACGTGTGTGTGCCACCGTATACTAAGGCGTCTGTAGTCTACACGCGCGTTGCTGTGGCCAAAAGGACCGGCCAGGATTTTAGAAAGTACTTCGACGGGCAGCATCGACGTACGGGATCTGTGCCAACATACCTATGCTGGACTGAGAATGCCAAAAGATCTTGGTGTGATGTACGTACATGGATTATTATATCAACTGAGTACGTATTTATTTATTTGGTTCCATTACCTAGAGATTGATCTCAATCTCCTTTCCTTGCAATCCATCTCCGTCTTCCTATTTTCACAGATAATCTGCATCTTTCATAATCCTGATCGTTCTTAACCTGATTGCTAGCGCCTAGTATGCATCTCCTGCTCCTGTTATTAATGATCCAATATTGGGTCTCCATAGTACCCATAATTGGTTGATAATTGATCAATTGGACATTGTTTGACCTATAATATATTATATGGGATTCGTCTTTTTTTTGGTGTGTGTTCGACCGACGTGATGAGCGATAAGATTTTATTGAGTTTGTCCAGTAGATTTGTAACTTTGTACTAGTTTTTGAAATACTAAATTTTCCTCAAATTTCATCACTTTTGTCTCATCCAAAAAATTATGCATCTAGAAATATTAGAAAAAAATGAAGGTAGTATGTATAAAGTATAATATGCTTTTAGATGCATTTTAGTGTTTTTTTTGTAACATTTCATTTAAACATAGCGCACACATTAATTATTATTTTTGTATATATATTAAAGGGCCAGGGTTATAGTTTCTCCCTGGGCCCCCAGAATCTCAGGACCGGCCCTGCCCGAGATATGGGAGGACACACTTGAGCAGGTCGACATCTTCGTCATGGGCATCGGCAGCAGCGGTACCATCACCGAAGTCGATAAGTTCCTCAAGGAGAAGAACCCCAACACAAAGATCTATGGAGTTGAACCTGCCGACGCAAATGTTCTGAATGGTGGCAAGCCAGGTGGGCTATCAATGTCCTCTTCTTCTTTTTCATACTAGATGTCTTCCCTAGTTTTTGTTCCTTCTCATGCTGCTAACTCCCTCTCTGAGATCTACTCGGAGCGTGCCTGGCTGCGGCGGGGCTGACCCCTCCTCTACCTCAACAAGCTGGACCGCGGGCTCTCCACCAGATTGGATCCGGCGGACCGCGGGCTCTCCCCTAGATCGGATCCGGCGGTTTGCGGGCTCTCCCCCACCCTCAGTCCACGGCGGTGCCTGCTCCGAATTGCGGTGACGTTGTGTGTGTCACGGTGGTTCTCTGTTGACACCTCACCTCTCCGGCCTGCCGCCCACCTCACTCGGTCGGTGGAGTTGGCTCCGGCGTCGTGGTTATTGTGGCAATGTTGCTCGTTCCCCTGCGGCGGCTAATTTTGGCGGTGCACCTTTAATGGCACGGCTCCGGCCACGGCGGTCTCTGGGCATGTGGGGCTGTGGCGATGTGGTGGCCTTCTGCGTGTGCGGTGCGGGCCGTTGACATTGCGATCCTTGGTTGGTGGTGGTGATTTTGATCAGATTCATCGGGCAGTGGTGACTACTGACTGTTCAGTAGTGACTTCCTACGGATCCATGACTGCGAGGTTATCGAAAAGACTTCGAGAGGTTTTATCTCTTGATACGGTGGATGACTTTCTGTGGTGTGATACAAATTATGGACAACGAGTTGACGCACAGGGATGTTTGGTGGAGTGGTGGCGGTCAAATTGTAGTTGTTGGTATTTCGAAAAAGTGGTGGCGACAACACATGTGTGGCTTTGATGGTGGTGCTGTGAGCACCTGGTCTCGAGCTCCGGGGCAAAAGCCTAGGTCAGACCCGAGTGGTCATACCTGGGAATGGCGATGTTTTCTATGTCGTTACCTTGTTGGAGGCATTGCTCGGATATGTTCAGACTATTATTCAGGGTGAAAACTTTGATTCTGGCCTTTGTGGTTGGATCCGATGACGGCGGCGCTTGAGTGTCGCTTCCTTCCTGAAGGCATTGCTGTTGAAGATCATCGGCCTCCATGTGATGTCAATAGTTGGTGCGGACATGGTCTCAGTTGTAGTTTGTCGATTGCTGATCTAATCTTTTTGGAGGTTTTTACCTTTTCTTTTTATTTTTTCCATGCCTATGCATAGCTTTTTGTCTTGTGACCTTGCTAGTTCTTGGCGTGTTTATCCGCGCGTGTGTGTGTGTGTGTGTGTGTGTGTGTTGGGTTGGTTGTGTGCATCCTAGTTATGCAGAGGCCGGATGTGTGCTCATATTGTATCTTCTCGATGCTCCATTTGAGCCAATAAAATTCACCCTTTATCGAAAAAATGCTGCTAACTGAACCTAACTTCAGGGCCTCACCTTATCACTAGAAACGGTGTGGGATTTAAGCCAGATATTTTGGACATGGATATCTCTACTCTTACAGAAAAATCAAGTTGGTGATGATGATGTGCCTGCCATCTTACAATATAGACCGTTCGATCTATATCTGATGGATAGAATGCAAACTATGGCAATTTTGCAAAAATATACCTGCACCTCTCTCCACATTTGCAGATAAGGCACGGGACTATGGTGCACCTCTATCCACATTTGCAGGCGCGGGACGAGGCCGCAGCAAGTGGAGCGGCAGAGAGAGGCAAGGCTCGGGCGCGCGGCGCGGGGGCACGCCTAGCGGGGCGGGGCGCGGCTATGCAGGGACAGGACGGGGCGCGGCCCCGAACGGCGAGCAAGGGAGGGGACGAGCACAGGGCGAGGGAGAGAGAGAAGGGGTGCCTCACTGGGATTCGTAGGGATTTCGGGCAGCGGGCTCGACGGAGTTCGGGGAGGGCCGTTGTGGAGGAGGACGAGGACGACGGCATCGGGGAGGCAGGCCGGTGGGGGAGCGCCAGCGAGGTCCAGGCGGGGAGGAGGATGGGAAGGCACGGCGCTTGGCGATCCGACGAGGACCAGGCGGCGGTGACGTGGTCCAACGACGAGATCTGGGGGGCGCGACGTCGGGCTTGCAGGGAGGGCGTCGTTGCCCCCCGATCCAGATCGGGGGAGAGGGAGGAGCGGGGTCGTGGGGGGAGTGGGGGGTGGTTAGGTTAGGGTTTGGGTGAGGGAGTGGATAAGGAGGGGGTAGTGGGCCGGCCGGCTGGGCCTGGTGGGCGAATGGGCCGGCCCGTTGGGTCTGCTGGCCCGGGGGGATCTTTCCCTCTCCTTTTCTTCTTGTTTTAGTTTTAGTCTTTCTGTCTTGTTTTTATTTATTTTATTTTCTGTTTAATTTCATTTTAAACCATTTAGACATTTTATAAAAATGTGTTTGCTGCACCATAATTACCCTTATAATATTTGGCAACCATCGAACATTTTTGTTTCTATTTTCGAAAACTTTTATTGTCGACATTAATTTTAAATTTGAATTTGACGCGGTTTGAACTAACGGACGTTTAGCAACAGTAATCGGGATGACGTGGCATGATTAGCGTGGGATTACTGTAGCAAGATTATCCGGGCGTTACATCTGGCGACCCACACAGCGCACACGGCCCCGAAGCCGGGCCATTCCTTTTTGCAATGTTAACAGATGTGGGAAGTCGATCGCATAACAGCTGCCAGAGGAATACCTTAATTTTCAGAGGGACGCGGGCTTGCCAAAGCCCTTTTGCCACTGTCTGTACCGACCCTTGGCACAGTTTGTGGTACAAAGACTTGATAGAGAACTTCCCGGACGCGTTGAGGTGCCAAGAAACCCTATCTCGTTCCTCAGTTAGTGTCACGGGGGCTATGAGTTGCAGCAAAGCCTCCCACTTTGTTGTTTCCTGCTCGTTCAGGTTACGGCGGAAGGCAATGGCCAGGGGATGAGCCAATGCCTCTGCCACTTGCTGGTCCGACGCCACAGCTAGAGCATACAACTCTGGGAACACTTCCCAGAGAGGGCCTGTGCCCACCCAGTAATCTAGCCAGAATCGGGTGGAGCGACCATTACCGACTTGGAACTTAGCACCTTTACCGACCATTACCGGCCGCCTCATCTGCCATTCTCCAGTCTGTTCCTCATGTGGACCTCGTGTAAACCAACAGTTGAAATGATTGAAAGAAAAAGGACTTAACCTTTCTGGACTGGAAAATGTTTATGATCTACTTACATGTGTTTGAGCCCGCTTTGCTGGAGCGGCTTTAATCGTACATTCTTCCATTTCTTACTAGTGTATGGTTGATGATGAGGCTTCCATCTGCTGCTGGCGTTTGCTTCATCAGGGGGCTTCCATTTGCTTCTACCACTTAGTTCTCATTGGGAGAGCGTCTCTGGTTCTTTATCCAAGACACAGAAAATAATGAGACAAGGACCACAAAAGACTCTTGGGTAATATATGGAAAAAAGTTTGAAATAAACCTTGAACTTGTAGTCGAAAACTAAATCAGCACACCGAACTTCAAATCCCGGTCTATTTTCAACCATGA